GTGTAATAATAATAATAATAATAATAATTAACGGTTTATTGAAAGAGCTGCAGCCAGAGGCTGAAAATATAGTTACATATTTGGGGAATGGGTTAATTACAAATAATATACAAATAACAGTGACACAAATAAGACATATAATCTTAGATGTGGATCAGCTCAAACTACAGTTCATTTCAACATAGTGACAGTGTAGGGGCAGTGTTTACCGGGAGTGAATACACTGATTTATTACATGTTATTGATAATTTTTACAATGGTTGGGACTGGGCTGTTCTTATAGCGATCGGTTCGTGCGTATGGGCTGGATGCGGTTGTGGTGTCGAACAGCAATTCTCGGACAGGGGATGTCAGGTGGTAGTAGGAGCCGGTAGTGTCGGGGATGGTGTGAAGCTTCTTACCAAATTTGCAGATAATGTCGTGGTGATGGTCAGTGAGAGTCGAAAGGGTCAGTGTGTTGGGCTCTTGATATGTGGAGTAGGAAGGGAAGAATAATTTTGCATGCCCTCTTTTGCACTTTTTCTGGAGTGTTGTTTACGTTGTGTGGCATTTAGGGAGGAAGACCAGGGAGGCATAGGTGAGCTTGGGAAGTATGAATGTTGTGTATACACTGAGGAGCTCGTGTGCAGGAACTCCGAGGACTTGAGTCGGCGGAGCAGGTGGAGACGGAAACTGGAGGCTTTGACAACTTCACTGACGTGTGGTTTCCAATTTAGTTTGTTGTCTATGGTGACGCCGAGGAGCTTCGTGGAATCTACAACCTGGGTGTGTTCGGACCTAGGGTAATGGAAGGAGGTGGGACAATGTCGGAGGAGAGGTTGATGTGCATAACCATGGTCTTGGTATGGTTGATGGTGACATGGTTGTTGGTGGCCCAGTTTTGGACTGTTCAATAAATCCTGAAGGGCGGTATAGTTGGAGCAGAATTGTTGACGCTGATCCCAATGGTGGAGTCGTCGACATATTTCCAGCGAGCAGGGGTTTTAGGGCATCATTGATGAGCATAAGGAAGCAGAGTGGTCCCATCTTGGTGCCTTGGGGGACGCCACAAGACTGAAAGGTGGAGACAGCCCTCGGAAGCGTACAGCTTGGCGTCGGTCACTGAGGAAGTCTAGCTATGGTATGAGACTTCCGAAGCCCGAGGTCAATAGCTTTGTTTATGATTATATTGTGGTCGACTAGGTCGAACGCTTTAGTGAAATCAATGAAGGCGACAGCTACAGACGTTTCGTTTCGAGATGGCGGTATATGTAATCGAGAAAGCTGACAAGACAGTGAGTGGTGGAGAAGTTTTCATGTTGCCAAATTGCTGAGGGTCTACGACTCTTGCAATATCAGCATAAGCCCAGTCAAACACAAAACTTTCACAGATTAGGCTGGGTATTGGGGTGATTGCAATAGGTCGTAGCTGATTTAAGATTGTGGGTTGGTTGACTTGGGCACTGGTGACATAAGAGGTCTTCCGTCAGCTGGGCATCTGCTTGACTGGAGAGAAGCATTGATGATGGAGCAGAGGGTTTAAAGTCCGGGAGAACTCTGAAGAGTTTCATTGGTAAGTCAATGGGGTGGTAGAGCGTTTTAATTTTAGTTTGTCCAGGCGTTTTGCTACGTCAAATTCTTCTACTAAGTCAGTGGGAAGGGGGCTGGTAGGTAAGCAGGAGAGTGGTTGTGTCGAGCCGTGAGCGTCTGGCATATAGTAGCGAAATGGTTATTTGTTTGCTCAGCTGCGTCAACATTAGTGAGATGGCTATGAAGGGAGGGGTGTGTCATATTGTTTAGTCCACAGAGTTCTTTAAGCTTACCATACCATTGACTGATGTTGGTCTGCTTCAGGTGTTGTAATTTGCTGGGTAGTGGGACTTTGCAGGCGGTATTTCATGCGACTTGCTGCGGTGACCTGTAGCGATGTGGTTATTGAGATGAAAGGCTCTGTCTCTCTGTTGCATAAGTCTTTTGGATCCGAGGTGTGATCCAGGGCAAGTCAGCTGGGTGAGATCTGACGGACTTCTCGGGAAGAAGTGGTGGTGAGCTTCCGTGGTGGTGTTGGTATAATTTATCCATTTGGTTTCCACGTCATCCACGCTAAGTACTTCAGTCCAGGGATGGTGTGTGTGTGTGTGTGCGTGTGTGTGTGTGTGTGCGTGTGTGTGAGTATATATGTAAGCAGGTATAGAGAGATAGGGGGATTGAGCCTTGAGGAACTCAACGTCAGTGGAGTTCCCAAGGCTCAGTACTTGGACCATTATTATTTATTATATACATAAACGTCATAGATCGTCATAGACAGCAACATAAGAATTTGTTGACGACACTAAAATAGGACGTGTTATTAAATCTGACGAGGACTCCGCAAAACTACAGGAAGATTCTAAAAAATTCGAATGGTCTGAAAAATGGCAGATGAAATTCAATATGGACAAATGTAAAGTACTCAGTATAGGAGATATAAACAGGGAAACCGGATACCAGATGAACAACAATGTTATTGAGAAATCTGACTGCGGGAAAGATTTAGGAGTAATGATAAGTAGGAATCATAAGCCAAGTAAACAATGTGTATTTGCTCGAAACAAGGCTAATAAAGTACTTGGGTTCATAAAAAGGAGTGTAAGTTACAAGACTAGCGAGGTCATCCTAAGACTATATCTTGGCCGCTTGTGAGACCTCTTTTGGATTACGCAGTTCAATTCTGGTCACCGTATTACAGAATGGATATAATAATCCTTGGAAAGAATTCATAGGAGAATGACAAGACTAATCCCGGGTATTAGGAACTGTAGTACAGAGACAGGTTAAAGCATTTTAATTTGCACTCCCTCGAGAGACGTAGAGCGAGGGGCGACATGATAGAGGTGTATAAATGGAAGTCAGGGCTGAACAAAGGGGATATTATAAAGGTACTCAAACTATCCAACCAGAAGCGAACTCGTAACAATGGTTTTAAATTAGACAAATTTAGATTTAGGCAGAGATAGGTAAACACATTGGTTTGGAAATAGAGTTGTGGACGAGTGGAACAAGTTACCCAATATCATCATTAACTCGAATACGCTGGATAGCTTCAAACATAGGTTGGATGGATATATAAGAACATAAGAACATAAGGAGTCTGCAATAGGCCGGCTGGCCTGTGCATGGCAGCTCCTGTCGAGAGTTACTACCACTCTATCATCCATGAATCTATCTAGCCTCCTTTTGAAACTTTCCAAAGTTCCCGCACTTACTACAAAGTTGCTAAGCTTGTTTCACTCGTCCACCACCCTATTTGTGAACCAGTTTCTTCCTATCTCCTCCTAAACTAAACTTATCCAACTTAAATCCGTTGCTGCGAGTCCTATCCTGCTCGGATATTATAAGAACTTTATCTATATCCCTTTATTGATTCCTTTTCACCCATAAATACTTCTATCATATCTCCCCGCACTCTTCGTCTTTCTAGGGAATGCAAGTTGTTTCTTTAACCTATTCTGATATGGAAGGTATATGAGTCCCGGAATCATTTTTGTCATTCTTCGCTGCCGACTCTAGCGAATTGATATCCATTCTATAATAGGGGCACAGAACTGAACCGCATAATCGAGGTGCGGCCTGACTAGCGCAAGATATAGTTGCAATAAGACCTCTGCACTCTTGTTACTTACACTAGATATAAAACCCAATACTCTATTGCCTTATTTCGAACATTAACGCACTGTTTTCTAGGCCGTAGGTCTGGGCTTTACAAATACCCTAGGTTTTCTTTCACAAGTCGACTTCTAGGTTGATGTTGTTAAGGCTGTATACATTATAGTATTTGTTCTTCTATCAAGTACGCTGCACTTGCTGGTGTTGAATTTCAATTGCCATTTTCAGACCACCCTGCAGTTTATTTAGATCCTCCTGTAATGCCATTTGCATCCCGCCCTGAATTAATCTGCCGCCCTATTTTGGTGTCATCCGCAAACTTGCTTATGTCACTGCTGATCCCAGTATCGTCGTTTATGTAGATTATGAACAAAAGTGGGCCTAGTATTGACCCTAAGGAACCCCACTGGTTTACTGTCACACAGATTTAACACCATCTAAGCTGACCTTCTGCGTTCTATCGGTGAGCCATGATTTTTTCCAATTTAAAACTTTCCCCTCGATACCATGAGCCTTAATTTTTCTCAGAAGCCTCTGATGCGGTACTCTGTCAAATGCTTTGCTAAAGTCTAAGTAAATAACATCGTAATTTTCGTCATTATCTACTACCTGGAAGACTTTCCTAAAAAACGTCAGCGATAGGGGTCGGGTGTAAACGAGACTGCCCAGTATGGGCCAATAGGCCCGCTGCAGTTTCCTCCATTCTTATGTTCATATGTATATGTGTACGTATCTATGCGTATATATCTGTATGTACGTGCGTGAGTGTGAGCCAAACATTGAGACAGAAAGGAACACGGGAGTGGGGCGGGGCGTATGGGCGGGGCGGGGCGGGGCGGGGCGGGCGGGCGGGCAGGGCGGGGGGCGGGCGGGGGGGCGTCACAGTCAACTCCCAAACTCAATTAATATATCAAGTAACTCGTAGCGATAATTAGCACAGTTGGCTGAGTTGGTCTCCCCAAGGGCGCCACCACCTGCTGCACTACTGGGTCGTCAGGTGGCCTCAGGTGACACTACAACGCGGCCACGGGTTTGGGGGGAGTTATGGACAGGAATTGGAGGAGCTAGAGACAGGTATATGACGGAGTAATGGACAGGTAAAGGCAAGGTATCAGACAGGTATGCAGGGAAGTAATGTACAGGTAATTGGGGAGTTATGGACAGGTAAGGGCAAGGAATTAGACAGGTATTTTCGTATTTATAGACAGGTAATATATTTATGTTTGGTTTAGGACAGGTAACTTTGTAAATTTAGACAGGTATTCCGGCCTTTATTGACAGTAGATCTTAACAATGACTTAAAATGATCAAGACAACTAATTAGTTTAGCGTCTCAGGTGTTCTCAAGCACAGCCCAGGTAAGTCTCTCTCAAATATTAAAATGGGATTAGAAGTACGAAAGAAACTCCAAGAGGGTGTATGGACGTGTGGACGTGTAGGCGTGTGAGCATATAGGCGTGCGGACGTATAGGCGTGTGGACTGATAGGCGTGTGGACGTACAGGCGTGTGGACGTATAGGCGTGTGAACGTAAAGGCGTGTGGACGTGTAGGCGTGTGGACGTATAGGCGTGTGGAACGTATAGGACGTGACGTATGGACATGTAAGCGTGACGTGTGGACGTGCGCGTGTGAACGTATAGGCGTGTGAACGTATAGGCGTGTGGACGACAGCGTGTGGACGTGTGGCGTGTGAACGTGTGGACGTATAGGCGTGTGAACGTAAAGGCGGCGTTGAACATGTAGCGTGTGGACGGATGGGCGTGGACGTACAGGCGTGTGGACGTGTGGGCGTATAGGCGTGAACGTGTAGGCGTGTGACGTGTGGGCGATACGGCGTGTGGACGTATAGGCGTGTAGACGTATGAAGCGTGTGGACGGACAGGCGTGTGGACGTGTAGGCGTGTGGACGTAGGCGTGTGGACGTATTGCCGTGTGGACGTGTGTAGGCGGCGTGTGGGCGTGTAGGCGTGGACGTAGCGGACGACGATAGGCGTGGGCGACAGCGGAGGACGTAGGCGGGCGCATAGGCCTGTGGACGTAGGCGTGACGGATAGCGGGACGCAGGCGTGGTGGGCGTGTGGACGTGACGTATAGGGCGTGTAGGCGTGGGCGGTAGAGGCTTGCCGACGCGTAGGCCTGCGGACGTGTAGCGTGACGCGGCGTGTGGGCGTATAGGCGTGACGTAGGCTCTGGACGTGTAGGCCTGGACGGTAGGCGTGGACGTATAGGCGTGGACGGCGGGCGTAGTAGGCTGGATGTATGCGTGGGGCGGTAGGCGTGTAGACGTAGGCGTGACGTAGCGGACGTATGGGCGGACGGGCGGGCGTGGACGTAGGTGCGGTGGACGGGAGCGTGGACGTATGGGCGTGTAGGCGTGTGGGACGTATAGGCTCGTTAACGTGGACGTGGACGTAGGGCGTGTGGACGTATGGGCGTGGACGTATGGGCGTGTAGGCGTCTGGATATGGGCGGCGTAGACGTAGGCGTGGACGTAGGCGTGTGGACGTATGGGCGTGGACGGCAGGCGTGTGGTGGCGGCGGCGTGTAGACGACGTATAGTCGTGTGGACGTATAGGCGTGACGTATAGGCGTGGACGTATAGGCGTGGACGTATGGGCGTAGGCGTGTGGACGTGTAGGTGTGGGCGTGGACGTTTAGGCGTGTGGGCGTAGACGTATAGTCTTGTGGACGTATAGGCGTGGACGTATGGGCGTGTAGGCGTGTGGACGTGGCATGTGGGACGGCGGGCGTGGACGGCAGGCGTGTGGTATGTATGGGCGTAGATGTGGACGGCGGGCGTGTGGACGCATAGGGCGTGGACGATAGGGCGTGTGGTATGTATGGGCGTGTAGACGTGTGGACGTATGGGCGTGTGGACGCAGGCGTGGTATGTGGGCGTGTAGGCGTGTGGACGATAGGCGTGTTGACGGCGGTGGACGATAGTGTGGAAGCGAGCGTGTAGGCGTGGGGCGTAGGTGTGGGCGTGTGGGACGTTAGGCGTGGGGCGTGAGACGTATAGTCGTGTGGACGTGGAAGGCGTGTGGACGTATGGGCGTAGGCGTGTGGGCGTGGACGTATAGGCGTGGACGTATAGGCGTGTGGGGCGTGTAGGCCTGTGGACGGTAGGCTGTGGACGTGTAGGACGTGTGGACGTATAGGCGTGTGGGCGTATAGGCGTGTGGGGCGTGTAGGCCTGTGGACGTGAGGACGTGACGTATAGGCGTGGGCGTATAGGCGTGTGGACGTATAGGCGTGTGGACGTATGGACGTGTAGGCGTTGGACGTATAGGCGTGTGGACGTATGGGCGTGTGGACGGCGGGCGTGTAGGCGGTGGATGTGTGGGCGTGTAGGCGTGTAGACGTGTAGGCGTGTGGACGTATAGGCGTGGACGTATGGGCGTGGACGATAGGCGTGTGGACGATGGGCGTGAGGCGTGTCGACGGCGTGTGACGTAGGGCGTGACGTAAAGTCGTGGACGGCAGGCGTGACGCATAGGCGTGGACGTATAGGCGTGGACGTAGCGGGCGTGTAGGCGGGCGTAGGGCGTGTGGGCGTGGACGTTTAGGCGTGGGCGTAGGCGTGGACGTATAGGCGTGGCGTATGGGCGTGGGCGTGTAGGCGTGTGGACGTACAGGCGTGTGGGCGCAGAAGGGGGTCTGTGGGCGTATGGGCGTAGGTGTGGACGTGTAGACGTATAGTCGTGTGGACGTATAGGCGTGTGGACGTCGGGCGTGTAGGCGTGTGGGCGTGTAGGCGTGGACGTATAGGCGTGGACGTCAGGCGTGTGGGCGTATAGGCGTGTGGTGGCCTGTGGACGGGTCTGTGGACGTAGGTGTGGACGTCAGGACGTGTGGGTATGGACGTAGGCCTGTTAACGTGTAGTCGTGGACGGATAGGCGTGTAGGCGTGACGTGTAGGCGGACGTATAGGCGTGTGGACGGGGCGGGCGTGTAGGCGCACGTATAGGCGTGTGGACGCATAGGCGTGGGGCATAGGCCGGGCGTATCGGCGTGGATGCGGCGTGTGGGCGTATAGGCGTGTGGGCGTATAGGCGTGTTGGCGTATAGGCTGTGGGCGTATAGGCCTGTGGGCGTATAGGCGTGTGGACGTATAGGCGCGTGGGCGTATAGGCGTGTGAGCGCATGGGCGAGTTAGCGTGTGGGCGAATAGGCGTGTGGGAGTATGGACGTATAGGCGCGTGGGCGTACCTGAGTTTAAGCTCCATATGCAGTCCTTCAGCACCGCTTAGGTGTAGAGTATAGTGCGTGTAATGGTGCGAGGAGCTCTTACTGCATCACGCTCTTAAAGGACCAACCATCTTCACCAGCCTGACCAGCACACACCATCACTCCAAAGACTTCACCTCACTTCACTCATCTAGAACATAAGAATATAAGAATGGTGGAAACTGCAGCGGGCCTGTTGGCCCATACTGGGCAGTCCTGTTTACACCAACCCCTTGCTGTTCATATACAGTAAGCATCCAACCTATGTTTGAAGCTATTCAGCGTATTCGAGTTAATGATGATATTTGGTAACTTGTTCCATTCATCCACTACTCTTGTTTCAAACCAGTGTTTACCTATTTCGCGCCTAAATCTAAATTTGTCTAATTTAAAACCATTGTTACGAGTTCGCTCCTGGTTGGATAGTTTGAGTACCTTTGTAATGTCCCCTTTGTTTAGCCCTGACTTCCATTTATACACCTGTATCAGGTCGCCCCTCGCTCTACGTCTCCTCACCTACCCCAATCTTACTTCACCTCACCTCCCCTCTCTTCCCCTCACCTTACCCCTTAAGTTAACAATAGATTACCATCAGATCGGCAAATACAACAATTTAATCCATAAAATGTCTTACCATATCATCAACGTCTATTCCAATACCATAAATAATTCACCCTTATAAATTACCATATATTGCTACCTTCAACCCACACACACAAGTATTATCAAAGGTTATTTCAGCATTACAAAGTTCTCTCTTACAAAACAGAACATAAAATAACCCATTATACTGTAATTTATCAACCGACCACCACCCTCGACCCTCACCACATCCTCCTCTCGACTCACCACTACCCTCCTCCTCCTCCCGACAACCCCAACTACTCTCCTGACCCCACCACCTCCCTTCCTGATGATAGCAATTCAACTATCATACAAAGTTCTTCAGTAACATCAAAGGTAATCTCATCAATACTCAAGCTTGGTATAGATACGAGAAGATCATCAATCACCAGAACATCAATTCTATCCTGGGTGTTTAAAGTCAAGAAGTGTGACACGTGAGATAATCACAGGTAAAATATGTAGAAATCAGGTGTTTTTTTATCGATGGCTAGATGGTGGTGTAATTATCTGTATAAGCTTATCACTGGTAGCTGGTATTTTACTAGGTCTTAACTTTGTTCCTAGTGCATTTACTGGTACCTGTCTCTTCGTTAATACCAAGTAAATACCTGTTGAGTACACGTACCTATACCTGTCGTGTAATGGTTAGCATCCTCGCCTCGCAAGCGAGCGGACCCGAGTTCGATCCTCGGGCAGGGTGAAACTATGGGCAAGTTTCTTTACGCCATTTGCCTCCGTCTACCCAACAGTAATTGGGAACCTGGATGTTAATCGATTTGCAGATCGTGTTCCGGGGTAATGGTTAGCCAGTGCAGTTGGCGAGTTGTCCAGTCTTCTCGGACGATTCCTTGACACTGGGTCATGCAGCTCGTTAATTGGGGTGGTTGTTGTGTTGGCAACAGCTTACCTTAACAAATTCACGCCTCGGAGGCCCTTGGGCCGGCCATCCTCGATTTGAGGGCTTCCATTATTATCCATTATACCATACCTAGTATACCTAGTCACTACCACCAAGTTACCTTCTCACACACTATCACCTACCACCACCTGCGACCCACACCACTGCCTACTATCACCCCACCACCCCACCACACCACACGTACCACTACCATCCCACCACCACCACTATCACTACCCACACCGCCTACTACCACCCCACCACTACCTACACCACCTACCACCACTGCCCACGCCACCTATCACCACACCACTACACCGTTATATCAACTAGACTGGGCCACACACACACACACAAAGGTCCCCAAAAGCCAATTCACTGGAGAGTTGTGGGTCATTAGAGGGGGGTGACGCCTGAACGAGTTTGTAAGGTTGTGAGCGTTAGCATTTCCGCCGGGGCAGAGTTAACCCGGGTTACTTTGGTCTTTGTTTTTTGTTTGATCAGCGGAAGGTAGAGGGAGAGGGAGGAGTAGTAGAAGGAAGGAGAGGAGAAGGGAGGAAGGACAGAAGAGAGGGGGAAGAGGGAAAGATGGGGAAAGAGGGGAAAAGAGGAGGGGGAGGTTGAATATAAGAACGTAAGATTAATGGAGGAAAGAGCAGCGGGCCCATACTAGGCAGTCCCGTTTACACCCAACCCCTATCGCTCATATATCCATCCAACCTATGTTTTAAGCTGTCCAGCGTATTCGAGTTAATGATGAGGTTTGGTAACTTGTTCCACTCATCCACAATTCTATTTCTAACCCAATGTTTACCTATCTCGCGCCTAAATCTAAATGTGTATAATTTAAGACCATTGCTACAGGTTCGCTCCTGCTTTAACCTGTCACTATACTCAAGGTTCCTGATGCCCGGGATTAGTCTTGACATCTTCCTCTGTATGCTTTCTAGGGATTCGATATCCATTCTGTAGTACGGTGACCAAAACTGAACTGCATAATCCAAGTGAGGATGGAGGAGGATGAAGGATGGAGCAGGAGGTGAGGGGAGGTGAAGGGTGAGGGGTAGAGAGGGTTGGAGGAGAGGGAAGAGGAGGAGGAGGAGGAGGAGGAGGAAGGATGATGGAGCAGGAAGAGGAGGACAGAACGGAAATATCCTCGTCGTGGTGGATCCTCTAGCTTGCCCTTCACCTTAGCCTCTGAGAGTAGGCAGGTTGAGGGCTGGTGAAGAGGAGGGGAGGAGGAAGAAGAGGAGGGAGGAGGAAGAAGAGGAGGAGGAGGAGCAGGAAGAAGATTGATGAGAGAAGTAGTGGCAGTAAAGGGCGTTGCGTGTTACTCTCCGTCAGTCACTAATACATTCTGGCGGTGAGGCGAGATGTTGCTACTGCTGGAGGTGGAGGAGGAGGAGTGAGATGGGGGAGGAGGGGAGATGGGAGAGGAGGAGGGATGGGGAGAGGAGGAGGAGTGGATGGGGGAGGAGGAGGGAGGAGGAGAGGAGGGGGAGAGGAGGAGGGAGGGATGGGGAGAGGGAGGAGGGAGTGAGATGGGGAGGAGGAGGAGGAGAGGAGGGGATGGGAGAGGAGGAGGAGGGGGATGGGGAGAGGAGGAGGGGAGATGGGGAGGAGGAGGGGAGATGGGGGAGGGAGGAGGAGGATGGGGAGAGGGAGGAGGAGTGAGATGGGGAAGGAGGGGAGGAGATAGAGGAGAGGAGGAGGGAGTGAGATGGGGAGAGGAGGAGGTGAGATGGGGAGAGGAGGAGGTGAGATGGGGAGAGGAGGGAGGAGGGAGATGGGAGAGAGGAGGAGGAGGAGATGGGGAGAGGAGGTGGAGGAGATGGAGAGAGAGGAGAGGAGATGGGAGAGGAGGAGAGGGGAGAGAGGAGAGAGGGGAGAGGAGGAGGAGATGGGGAGAGGAGGAGGGAGGGAGATGGGAGAGGAGGAGGAGATGGGGGAGAGGAGGAGATGGGGGAGAGGAGGAGGAGGAGATGGGGAGGAGGAGAGGAGATGGGAGAGGAGGAGGAGGAGATGGGGAGAGGGGGAGGAGATGGGGAGAGAGGGAGGAGATGGGGGAGAGGGAGAGATGGGGAGGGAGAGAGGAGAGGGAGGAGATGGGGAGAGGAGGGTGGAGTGAGATGGAGAGAGGAGAGGAGATGGGGAGGGGAGTGAGATGGGAGAGAGGGGAGGAGATGGGGAGAGGAGGAGGAGATGGGGAGAGGGGAGGAGATGGGAGAGGAGGAGGAGATGGGAGAGAGGGGAGGAGATGGGGAGAGGAGGGAGGAGATGGGGAGAGGAGAGGAGAAGAGAGGAGAGGAGATGGGGAGAGGAGGAGGAGTGAGAGGGGAGAGGGAGGAGAGAGATGAGAGAGAGGAGGAGAGGGAGAGAGGAGGAGATGGGAGAGGGGAGGATGGGGAGAGAGGAGAGATGGGAGAGAGGGAGGGAGGAGATGGGAGAGGAGGAGGAGGAGATGGGGAGAGAGGAGAGGAGAGGGGAGGAGGAGGAGGGAGATGGGGAGAGGAGGGGAAGGAGGAGGAGGAGATGGGGAGAGGGGAGGGGAAGGAGGAGGAAGACTGATGAGAATGTCATGCAGGGGTGAGGTTGCTACCGCTGGGCCTGCTGGGGTAAGCTGGATGAGGAGTAAGGCTGACGATGGCAGGGGTCCTACACGATGAGGGATATGGGGTTCCTTCACAAGATTTGGAGGAAACTTAGGAAGGAGAGAGACTCAAAGAATGGTAGTTGTAGGACAGGAGGAGGTGGGGATAGGAGGAAGTAGGATGGGGTGGTGAAAGGTAAGGGTAAGATAGGTGTGTGGATAGGGGTTAGGGAGGTAGGATACTACTAGGGAAAGGACAGAGATCCTATAGGAGGAGGACTTTATATTAGGGGTCTAAGGATGGCAAAAGATAAGTAACGTTAGATAGGTAAGTAAAGTTAGGTTAGATGGATATTAGGTTAGGTTAGGTTAGGAGACATTAAAGGTTTAGTTAACACAGTTACGATCTGGTCACATTAAAAAAAGCAGCATACACGTCAGGTCAACTGGTCACGTTAGTTGTAGGTTAGGGAGACATTAGTATAGTTTAGTTAACATTAAAGACAGATTCGGTCACATTAAAAAAGAGGTCATATCAAGTCAGGTCAACTCGGGTCCACTAGAAAGGTATTCAACTCCTGAGGGCAAGTTCCAGGGTCGGGGTTGGTGTCAGGAGAGCCCGAAGAAAACTAATGTGGTGAGTGCCTGGGAAGACTCTGCCTCCTGGGCCTTTACACTTCTGACATTTCCATTACACTCTGACTACTGGCATTAATATTCTACACACTTGGATTTTATACTGACTTGGACACTTACTTTCTGACATACTGACACACTGACACTCACTTACACTCTGACTTGTTACACTTTGACACACTACACTTTGGATTACATTTTGACACATCTTGACACTTTATGGACTTCTATATTTGACACTTTACACT